AAGTCCTCCCGGCTCATCACAGGGGACCCCTCACCCCAGCACCTCCAGTCCCCGCCCAGGAGCCACTGTGGGTGCCTCCCGGTTTCCCAGTCTTGGCAAGTCCCATCAGTGCTACAGCCAGCGTGTACCTTGGACGTTCCTGAACTTCCCACTTCTTCCTGTGCCCACTGCCTTGACCCAAGTCACCATCCCTTCCCTGGGACTGACAGCACTGGCCCCAAAGGTCTCCTCTGCTTCTGTCACAATATGCTTCCCACTCAGCGGCCAGAAGTGCCTTTTTGAGATGTTCACCTTGTCACTCCTGCGGGTTACAGGGCCAGCTCCGTCCCACAGCCCACAGGCCTGCTGTCATAGGAGGCCTCGTCAGGCCCCCGAATTCCCCATCCCCTCGCCCCCACGACTCAGCCACAAGGCTCAGCTCTGTACCAACTTTATTCGTTGAGGTTCCTTCGTTTACCCCGTAGGCCCAGCCCACATCTCCCTTCCTCAGAGAAACCTTCCCACCCACTTGACCTAAAGAATCCCCCACGTGCTCCTCCCTGTGACTGTCCCTTGTCACCACCCTGATTATCTCCCGCAGTGCTTTTGTCACCTGTGACGATCTTGTTTACCATCTTCTTGCCGAGTGTCTCTAACCCCCACTGCAGCTGGGCTCTGTGCAGTCAGGGACCCCTGCTGAATGGCACCTCCTAGCACTTAATGTCTTGATCGATGCATAATGAAGAAACGAATGAGTGAGGTTCTAAGCAGGACAGCAACCCCAGGTTCCGGCCCCCGGGCAGGTGGCCCTGGACAGGAGGGAGGCGAGGAGGCTTCTCTCATGCAAAGACAGTCACTTCTTTCCACCTTGTCTCCCCTTCAACCTCGAAATCTGGGCAACGCAGGGAGAGGCACCCTCCCCTGAGGCCAGCACCCTGGACAGTCATGGAGCCTCGTGCCCTCCTGCGGGTCCCAGTGGGGCCTTACCTGTCGCGCAGAGGGACAGCCCCAGCCCCGGGACCCACATGGCTGCGACACAGGACAAGGCAGCTGGTGGAAAGTCTCCCCTCTCCTGGCAGAGGCTGTGCCTGGCCTGCTGGTTGTTTCTTCCTTGATCTCCACTCTCCTCCTCCTTCCTGCCCAGACTGACAGATTTTACTAAACAAACACTTATGCAGTGCCTACTGCATGCCAGCCGCTGTGGGAGGTGCGGGGGATGCAGCCTGAATAAAGCAGGAAAGATCCCTGTGTTCCTGCAACTTACAGGAAGGCAAGCGACAGGGATGGGCAATTAATGAGCAGAGACAGGGAAGGGCGAGCCCAGGCCAGGCTGGCTGGAGGTGGTGGGGGGAGCAGGGAGTCAAATGGGAGGGGGCAGGCTAGGTGAGACCCCTGGGGTCCTCAAGGGTCGGAGGAGCAAGAGACTGAGACTGTGGAAGGAGAGGAGAGGGAGGACAGAGGAGGGACAAGGAGCTGGCGTGTGTGGGCCAGGATCTCCTGCCCTCTCCTCCCTGCCCACCCTCTCAACAGCCACATCGCCCGGCAGAGGCCATCGTGATCCCCATTTGACAGAGGAGAAACTTGTGGCTCCAAAAAGGGAAAGAGCTTGCTCAAGACGACAGGGTAGAATGTAGCAGGGCAGCAATGCCAGCTCAGGTCACCGCAGAGCACGAGGTGGGAGGTGATGCGCCCCCAACTGGTCCTGCCTGAGTGAGGCCAGAACTCCCCCATGCTGGTCTAGGCTCCGGCTCCCTAATCTGGTCTCCACAGACCAGGCACCCAGGCACTTTTTCTGGGGGAGGAACCAAGAACAGCTCGCTCTCTCTCTTTCTCTGTCTGTCTCTTCCTCCCTCCCAACATCCTGTTTATGCCCAGAGCTCTCTCTATTCCTCTAAGAGTTAAGCTTTTGGAAGCCAAAGCCTGGAAGACTCTTTTTTTCTGCCCTCCACCCCTTCACACCCTTCCTGGAGGGAAGGGCAAACAGCCCTTCTGACTGGAAGGGCAAAGGGAAAGAGGAAAAAATTGTTCAGGCTTCGACAACAATGTCCTGCACAATAACCTCTTGTGCGGGGATGGCCTCAGATGACTTCTTCCAGTGGCAGAACCCGTGTGTGCCGGGCCGCTCAGGGCCACTCTCCGGGGACAGAGGCGAGCCTGACAGTCCTGGCCCCCGAAACCCCACCTCCACCAGGACCCTCCCCCCTGGCCATTCCCCCAGGGTCCTCACCTCTCTTGATTTAAGCGCCCTGCTAGGCGCCCCGCGCTTCCCTCTGGGAGTGGAGAGAACCGTGGGCAGGAGAGTGAGCATGTGGGGTCAGGCGCAGCCTCCCCAGACGGCTGCCCCCTGGGTGGGAATTCCTCGTGCGTCCTCTTCTGTCCCTCTGGTCTGTGAGCTCCCTGCGAGCTGGGACCACGCAGGGTCACATGCACTCACCCCATCACAAGCACAGCAGAAGCCCTCCGTGAAGAGCGGGCCCTGTGGTTTGTTTTAGGGAGATTTACCATTATTCTTCCCTTTGGAGTCCCACTCCTACCTAGGACCCTGCCTCGTACATGGAGCTCTTGAGTACATGTGTGAACGAGGAGCCCTCCCCTGGACGTGGAGGGCCAATGATAGGGGGGCAATGTCAACCCTGCTCCCAGGATGCCCGTCTCACCCTCTCTGTTGTGTGAGAAAACCCCACTGGGTAAAAGGAACAGAGAGGAGGCAGCAGCAGCCTTCCCGGGTGACCCAGGAGCAAGCACTTGGTTTGCATGAGCTGCAGGAAGCAAAGGAGTTTATGGAAACTCCTGTCCCCGAAGTAGGAATGCATTTCCACCCAGATATGTTCCACCCTGAGGTGCAGGTCTACAGCTTTAACTCTCCCACAGTCTCTCTATACGTTTTCCCCCAGACCAGCTAGGTCTGCACCCCCAGAGTGGAAGCTGCGTATCCCACACTTGCTCTGTTCCTCGGACATGCTCTCAGCACCCCTGAGAGCAGCCAGGGGTTCTTCTGCAAAGTGAGCTGCTAATGACCGTGCGGGCTCTTTGTTAGAGATGTGCATTGCGGCCGCAATGCCCTGGCCAAGCATAGCTGAGTGGTTTTCTCTAAGCCTTGATTTCTGTGAGATAATAGAAAAAATATATATTGGTCTCTGCCCCCGGTTCCTGGCTCGGAGCACCTAAAATCCATGTGATTTCCTGAGCAACAGGAGAGTCTTCTTTTTTTTTTTCCCTAATGAAGTGGCTCTGGTGAGCTCCTGGGTGGGGGTTGGCCTCCAAAAAGACTAAGCCATGATGAGAAGCTTAGAAATTTTCAGTCCCATCCCCCTCATCCTTCAGAGTTAATGATTGCTCATGCCTGCGTCATGAAACCACCATAAAAATCCCCAAAATATGGGATTCAGGGAGCTTCTGGCTTGGTGAACGCATGGAGATTTGGGGAGAGGGCAAGGAAGCTCTGTGCCCTTTCCTCTGGCCTCGCCCGGGGGCTCTCTTCCATCTGGCTGCTCCTGAGTTACACATCTCCTTTTGTAGTAAATCAGTCACCTAGTGAGTCAGATGTTTCTCTGAGCCATTTTAGCAGATTCATTGAAACTGAGGCAGGGTGGTGGGCGCCTCTAATCTATAGCAGGTTGGTCAGAAGCACAGCTAACAACCTGGACTTGGGCCTGGTGTCCGGAGGCGGTGTGGGGGGAGTGGAGAACCTTGTAGGACTGAACCCTTAACCTGTGGGATCTGATCCTGTCTCCAGGCAGATAGTGTCAGAGCTGAGGAAAATTGTAGGACAGCCAGCTGGCGCCCCAGAGAATTGCTTCTTATGGGGGGGTACCCCCTCATGTTTGGTGTCAGAAGTGGTGGGGTGTGGTGTGGTGTAAGATTAAAGAAGACACTCAAGAGGAAAGCCTGGGGGGTGGTTTTCCTTATCTGCAAAATGAGGGTAATAGTTGCCATGTTACAATGGAATTGTGAGGATTAAATGAATGAATCTTTGATACACTACGCAAATCCCAGTGTGCAGGAAACATGGCATCTCTTTATCTGTCTCTGAGTCAACTCAAAAGTCTTCAGGCGTACGCACAATCACATGCACCCACATTAAGTACACAGTCTGACTGGTTTTGCAGAAGGTATGCGCCCGTGGAAGCGCCACCACAATCAAGCTTAGAACATTTCCAACACCCCAAAGTGGTCCCCCTGCCCTTTTGCAGTAGTCCCTCCCTGCACCCCAGCTTCAGACAACAACTGATCTGCTTTCTGTCACTAGAGATTCATTTTTTAGCATTTTATTTGAATGGAATTTCACTCAGTAAAATGTCTGAAAGAGTCACCCATCTTGTCACACGCATCCGTAGGTCAGTCCTTTATATTGTCGAAGGGTATTCTATTGTAGGAAAATACTACATTTTGTTTATTTGTTCTGCTGGTGGATTTGGTGTTGTTTTCCAGTTTGAGGCCAGTATAAATGAAGCTGTGACGACCGTTCATGAACAAGTCTTTGTATGGACTGCGTTCTTATTTCTTTAGGGTAAATGCCGAGGGGAGGGACTGCGGGGTGGTATGGTAAATGTATGCTTATAAGAAACTGCTACCTCTCTTCTAGAGTGGCTATAACATTTCCCACTCCTACCAGCAATGCATGACAATTCCAGTTACTCCGATGCCTTGGAAACATGTAAATCAACTTATTTTTGACTCTGAGCCCTCACGCTACCAGGTAAGGAAGAAATTCAGCCTTATCTATTGTCAGGACTATTCCCACAACACACGCACACACATGCACACAGTAGGGGAAGAACAGAGAGGCTGGGTCTTACCGTGTGCGCTGTCTGCGCTGCTGACCACTAAGACCTCCATTATCCTGTTATTTCAGGTCTGCCAACCCCACCAGGGATGAGCCACCCCAGTGACTGAGGATGGTCCCAGAGTCTGGGACCCACACAGCTGCTCCTCCCTGAGGTCCTTCTCCTGCCCAAGGCATTAGAAGAAAAGTACAAATTAGTACCTAAAACTGTTACCCTGCCATATACATAAAGCACTTAGCACCCAGGCTCATAGAAGACGCTTGATGAATGTTGTTTCCTTTCCCCAAAGAGGAGGGAAGTTTGTTCTCCTCACCCCTGGCCACATTCCCCACCCTAAAAACTGGGGTTTCGGGGTGAGAAGACCTTTCTGTTTATTCCTGCTCACTGTTATGAACCATTCACTCAGCTTGGAACCTTAATCCATTTTGACCATCCTCTGTTGCAAAGGTAGATCTCAGTGCTCAGCAAACAGGCAGTTGGATAAATGAATAGATGGTTTACTGTTGTAAATTTTATGGATGTGGACATGAACTCTTGAAGACAGTTGTGCCTCATGGGGCCATCTCTGCTCTAGAAGAAGGTTCTGCTACAGCCAGCTTCTCTAAATTCCCACACAGCTGGGGGAGGCAGCGGGGCTCGGGAGACAGGCCACTGGGGCCTGCCTTGGACGCTTGGATCCCTTGGAGAGCCATCCCAGGTCCTTTGCTCTTGGGCGCCCCCTAGGGGCCGGAACACAGTACTGGGCAGCCAGCTTTGCTTCCTTCATCCCAAAGAAACGATTTTTACTGGAGCCTGAGAGGGAAAGTAAACCAACCATTAGACTCTAATCTACTGCTGCTCGTATTTTGCATTTATTTTCTCACCTCTGTTTAATAACTGATCTTTAAACTGTTTTTCTACTTTATTCCTTTTAAAGTAAATGTTTTGGCCAGTAGGAACAGGAAAAGACGTTCAACATCACTAACCATTAGGGAAACGCAAAACAAAACTACAGCGAGATACCACCTCACACCCATTAGGATGGCTACTATCAAAACAACAGAAAATAGCAAATGCTGGTGAGGATGTGGAGATAAGGGGACCCTTGTGCACTGTTAGGGGAAATGTAAATTGGTGCAGCCACTGTGGAGAACAGTATGGAGGTTCCCCCCAAAAATTAAACAGAATTGCCATATGACCCAGAAACTCCACTTCTAGATAGATGCCCAAAAGAATTGAAACAGGGACTCAAAGAGAAATTTGTATCCTCATATTCATAGCAGCATCATTCATAATAGCTAAAACATGGTAGCATCCCAAGTGTCCACTGAGGATGAATGGATAAACAGAATATGGTGTACACATACAATGGGATATTATTCAGCTTTAAAAGGAAGGAAATTCTGACACACCCTGCAACATGGATGAAACTTGAGGACATCATGCTGAGGAAAATAAGCCAGTCACCAAAGGGCAAATATCACACGATTCCACTTCTGTGAGGTACTTAGCCAAATTCGTAGAGACAGAGGGTAGAATGGCGGTTGCCAGGAGCCGGGGAAGGAGGGAACGGCAGTTGTTTAATGTGAAACCGAGCGGAACTCTGCAGGGCCTTCCCTGGTATAAAAGCTCTTCCGTGTCTCTTTCTTGTTTGTTTAAAAAAACAAAAACAAAACAAAACAAAACAAAACTTAAGTCTCCCAGACCTTCCCTGAGTTTCAACGAGCAGACTCAAGCAAATACTAATTAGAGAAGTGAAGGAATGCAGAAACAAAGGGAAAGCAGTCAAGCAAGAAAAGTATTGACAGCTGAAACACTCATTCACCCATGAAACAGGGTCACAGGACCCTAGTTCCTCCTGAAAGAGTATAAACAATCTGACGCATATCTTTCAGTTGCTCTGCACAAACTATGACCCCACCTACCCACCCCGCCCACGAGGATGATGATCACATGCTGAGCACAATCGTGTGGACCCCAGACTGGTTGGAACCAGAAGGTTGATGATTAAGATTCCTGAAACATCACCGTGATATCTCACCACCAACCAATCAGAAGGAAGTCCACAAGCTAATCACCCTGCACCCCTCACCCCTAATGTCGCCTTTAGAAACTCTTCCCTGAAAGTCATCGAGGAGTTGGGGTCTGTTGAGCATGAGTGCCTCGTCTCCTCGTTTAGCCCCCTGCAGGAACACTGTACTTGCCTTCAGCACAACCTGGTGTCGGTAGACTGGCTTTGCTGCCGGTGGGGCGAACAGATCCCAGTTCGGTTTGGTAACAGATGGGTGCAGAGTTTTCATTTTACAAGATGAAAAGAGTTGATGGTGATGGTGGCTGAACAACATTGTGAATGCATTTAACATCACCGAACTGCACCTTTAAAAATGGTTGAGATGGTAAATTTTAAATACAAAATTTGGGGGAAAAGTAAACGTTTCCTGAGTTAATATTATTTACCTAATTTGACTATTTTTTCATTAACCTATTATGTGCATTATCTCCCATTTTGATCATATTATCTCTTAGATGACTGAATTCTTTTTGTTTTGTGTAATTGTATGTGTGTACGTGCGAACTTTTTGTTCTGTTCTGTTTCACATAATTTTCTTCGGTTGTTGTTTCAATCCTCTTAGCAGGTTCAACAACTTACTAGATTCATTATTGATTTCCTTTTATTTTTTATTTTTAAACATTTTTTAAATTGAGTTATAGTCATTTTACAATGTGTCGAATGATTTCCTTTTATTATCTTATTTCATTTTAGGGATGAAGTGGGGCGTTCTGGGAGGAGGACGTTAGTTGGGTGCACACCACATGTGCCTGGGTATATATCTACATCAGTTAAATCTCCCCCACCCCACCCCCTGTTATCCCCATCTTCACCCCAACACAGTCCAGAGCCCTGGGGCTGGGGGTGAGGCTAGAAATAAAAAAGAGGAATCCCCAGTGCTGCTGCCCTGAGGAGGAGAGTCAGGCTTTGTCCCTGGGAACGCGAGGTCTTTGGAGCAGCCACACTTCACCAAGAGCACGTGTCACACCCCTTACATAGGTTATCTTATTTAATTCTGAGAGATGAAGTTCCAAAACCCTGTGAAGTAGGTACTTTACTTGTATCCCATTTTCTGGATGAGGAAACAAGCTCAGAAAGGCTAAGAAACTTGCCACGGTCATGTAACTAGCAGGCGGGGACCTGGAGTTCGCAGCCCCGTCTGCCTGGTGTTACAGCACAGACTCCCACCCTGCAGGACTGTGTCCCCCGAGGCTGTCATTCAAGGCCTCATGTCAGGGCTACTGAATCAGAGCGGGGAGGGATGGAGTCCCACATCTGCCTTGTGTGCGATAATCGTCCTACAGGCAGGCAGGTCCCCAGGCTACTCATTTATCTCTTTTAACCCGTTTTACAAATGTCAAGTGGGAGCTGCCAACATGGGCCACAGTGGCTGGGACAGTCCACGTGTCCTCCCGCCAGGTAAGGATGGCGGTGGGTCCTTGCCCCTGGGCCGAGGTGGGCTGGGGAGGGGGTTAAACGTGCTGGCCGTGCAGCCAGGCTGCCTGGGTTCATTTCCCGGCTCCCCCACCTACCTCTGCGACTTCAGAAAAATGATTTACCTTTTGAGTTAAACAGCTTCCTTGTCTGTAAAACGAGGGAAACACTAGTGCCTACCTCTTAGGGTAGTTGTGCGGATTCAGGGAAATAAACACGCTCAAAATACTCGGTTAAGGCGCTAGCTATTTATTGCAGTGATTCCCCGTATCCCTGTGGGGGAGCCCCTGACTCTAGTTCAACCTGCAAGGACGGGAGACTAGCAGGGTCACCAGGAAACCACTGGACCAGACAATCCAGGTCCACAAGCCCCAAGTCCCTCCCCAGGGGAACCAGGAGCCCCTCCTTAGCCAAGGCCCGAGCGGCCCCGCCCTTGCGCCCGGAAAGCACGCCACGCAGCCGGCTACTCCGCACAGCCGCCTGGCGCTACCCGAGCGGTGCAGCAGGCTGGGCGAGGCGGGAGCCCGGAGGCTGCGGGTGGGGGGCCCCGAGCGGGGGTTCGCAGCCTCCAGACCAGGTCTGAGACTGAGCCGCGCCCAAGGGCTGCTCGAGGGAATCTGAAAAATAGGGTGTTCTCGTCCCTCCTGGAAGAACGAGGGATGGGGGGGTTGCGGACAAACACCCTCCTACCTGATTGGTCTCAGGGGACCGAGCAGCAGGAGGGAGCAGAGGAACGGGCCGGTTCTTACAGCCCAGCAGAAAGAGAAATGTCTTCGTGCCCTGATACCAGCAGCCACAGCGGCGGGTGGGAGGGGAGGGCGGAGGGTCTGCAATCAGAACAGCCGGGCCAGGGGCCGAGGGGGCGGGGCCTGAGAGCGGGGTCGGGGGTGGGGGTTCCTGCTGGGCCGTCCCTGGAAGGAAGGTCCTGAGGGAAGGGGCCTGAGGCCAAGCCGCAGGTCAGATCACACAGGCACGGACTGAAGGAAGGAAACGAGCTGTGGTCCAGAAGATGAAGTGATGGGCCAGGACGGCCGGAGAGACAGGTAATGTGATGCTTCATCTTACGTGTCAACTTGACCTGGTAACGGGGTGCTCAGATACAGGTGACCCTTGAACAGCGTGGGGGTTAGGGGTGCCAACCTCGTGCAGTAAAAAATCTGAGTAAGTTACCTTACAGTCAGCCTGGTGTCCGAGGTTCTGTGTCTGCTGTTGGAACCAACTGCAGGCCCTGTAATACTGTAGTGTTTACTACTGAAAAAAATCCGCGGATCCAGGGACCCGAGCAGTTCCAACCCGTGTTCAAGAGTCAGCTGAATTTGCTTGAATATTATTCCAGGTGTGTCTGTGAGGGTGCTTTGAATGAGGTAAACATTTGAACAGGTTCACTGAGGAAGGCTGACCACCCTCCTGAGGGTGGGTAGGTCCCATCCAGTCTGCTGAAAGCCTGGGTAGAATAAAAGGCTGGGTGAGAAGTAATTCTTGCTCTGCCTGTTTTAGGGCTGGGACCTCTGTGTTCTGCACTCCGATGGGAACGCCCACCACCGGCTCTCCTGGGTCTCCAGCTGCAGATGGCAGATTGTGGGACTTTTCAGGCTCCTAGAAAGTGAGCCAATTCCTTAAAATAAATCTCTAAATAGATAGATGATAGGTAGGTAGGTAGATGCATATCCTACTGATTCTGCTTCTCTGGAGAACCCTGACTCACACAGGTAACCGGATTGAAGGCAAAATAGAAGGCTCATAGAATTGGGGCGGAGGGGGCGAGTGTCTGGCAGGGAGCAGCCGGATGGGGGTTAGGTAAGGTTACCGAGGGATCAGCAAGAGGAATCACTGACGCCAGGTCAGCACTGCAAAGTCTCTTTGTGTGGTCTCTGGGGCTTCCATTTTTTCAGTTCTCCGGATGCTGAGAGCTGAGGGTTGCTCAGAACCTCATGTACAAATCCAAGAGTTGTTACTTTATGAATATCCCCCTATTTCCTGAGGTGGGAACCCGCGGGACCTCTGAGAATGAGCGTGTGTTACCTGCACACACTGCCACATGGTGAAGTTTCAGCCAGACACACGCACACCTCAGAGGACACCTCCTAGCTCTGTGCTGTTACAGGATGTGTAGGTTTAAGTCCAGTCCAGTGCTGTGTACAGTGACAAGGCCGGGTAAAGGTGAACTTGGCCAGATGGAGCAGACAGAGAAGGCTGATTTAGTATGCAGTACACCTGCGGGGACAGGCTAGCAACCCTATGCTGAAAGAAGACACATTTGATATGCTGGAGACAGGTATACACTCACCGACCAGGGCCCAGCATGGAGGGGATATCCCCACTGACGGGTAGAGGGAACATGTCATCTTCAGAGACTCAGGTAGGCATTGGCTGGGAAAGCCTGGCACATGGTGGGTAGCATGGCCTCCTGCGTTAGGTTTAGAGAAGAAACTCTCTAAAGTAAAAGGTACTGGGACGCTCACAAGGCCAGGAATGGGATCGAGAAGACCATGGCAGAGAGCCAGCTCCAAGAACCCGGCTGTGCCCCTCCTCTGGGCTCCATCAGCACCCTGAGCCTGGGAACCACGCTGTAAGTGCGATTCTCCTGATGGCCCGTCAGCCCCATTAGTGATGAGTTCCTGAGGGCGGGGACCGTGTCAAGTGTCTTTGTGCTCCTGGTGCCTGGCAGGGTGCTTGGCACGTAGTCAGGGCTCAGTAAACACGTGCTGAGTGCACAGGGGACTTGCTGTGGAGTCCCCTGAATGGTGACCCAGAGCTCCTTGCTAAGACCCAGCCAGGCCCTGCCCATGGGCGGTGGGGCTGAGACCCAGGCAGGCCCCGGGATTCCCAGCTCTCTGCATGGATGGTTGTTGTCACATTTTTTAGAGGATTAGGGGCACAAGAGGGGGGTCATTTTGTCTTAATAATTAGATAGAAATAAATTAATGCTGTGTTTAGGGAGTCTCGGCAAACGACAGTGGCCTGCTTCAGTGTTCGATTCCGTCCAAGTTGTCGTTCCTTAGGGAGCAATTTTCACACGAGTTTTTGCCACTCAGAGGAGCGACGTCAGTGACATCTCCTTCCTCAGCTTCAAGTGGGAGCCCAGGGCCCAGAGTGTTCTTCTCAAAGCCTTTGTCTGTCACGTGGCCCAGGGACCTCACCCCGCCCCCCGCAGAGCCCTGTGGAGAGGAGCAGGGGGAGGAGCAGGGTGCTGCCCGTGGCCCTGAAGGGAGAAGGCCGGGGTGGGCCAGGGTAGGCTTGTGGGTTCAGTCCCTGAGCAGGGGGGCAGGCCTGCTGGAGAAAGGTCTCCTTGCAGAACCAGCATATGGGTGACGAGCAATCAACCTCTTGTGAGGAAAAGGCCATCACTGAGGGGTCCTCAAGCAAAAGACAGTATCTGTCTGGTGTTTGGCTACAAAAGAACCAGCCAAGCGAAAGCCCTCATTGTAAAAAAATCATGCAGGACTTGAATAGACAGGCATCAGATCCCCCCTTTTTTATTGCCACTAATTAAAATGACCAACTCTAAGAATCCTCGAGGTGTCACCACACAGAAGTCCCCGACATTTCCCCAGGAAACGTGCTGGTGGGTCACCAGCCAGGAGTTACTGCTGCACATGTGAGAGTTTCCAAAGACCTACAATTAGCAGGAACGTGCAGCCGTCTCTGTCCATCAGTCAGGTTCTCGGTTGCAAAAGGAATCCACAGGAGCTGGTTTAATTGCTGGGAGGGCTGGAGAGACAGGCTGGGCTCCCGGCTTCCAGGACAGCGTTCAGCCCCACATCGGGGGACTGGCTGATTCAGAGCCAGGGCTCTGCCCCACCTGCACCTGCAAACAGGAGACTTGGGCAGAATTTCCCCCCGGCGAGATGGGGAGCTGAATGAAACCCAGTGTTACCAGCAGCCTATCCAAGTGGATCTTTTTCTTGGCTTTGTTAAACCTGAACTAAATCAGAACAGCCAAGTATTTCGGCATGAAATGCAAGATGAACATGGAATCCACTGAATTCAAGATCCAGAAAACCAGGCAGCCTGTTTATGTGCCTTCTACAAGGTTTTTGCCAACAGGGGAAAAAAATCCAGAGCCCTGTTGAGAGCTCAGGCATGTCACAAGGAGGAAGAAGCAAACCTGTAGGAGCTGCCTAACTTCTTGGTCTTTAAACGCGCCAAGGTTTCCCCCACTTGCAACTCAGCGGGAACCTTCCAGGCTGGTCCGATCTGGTCGCCTGTGCTAGGAGCTGTCCTCACCCTGACCGCCTCCACAGTGGTTCTCAGAACCTGCGTCTGGCTCCTCTGTTTGGAGGCTGGTGTAAACAGCCTGCTCCAGATCCTTGACCTCGCCACCTGACCCTGGGCTCTACCAGCTTCCTCGCTTTCATCACCACCCGCAGCTCCAGGGGAGAAAGGCTTTCCCCAGCCTGGCCCCAGAACTCCTACTGAGAGAAACGGACTCCTTCCGGGCCATTCTTCATGTGGACTCAGCTCTGAGATACTCATGGTCCCAGGGGCAGAATGGCTAAGAGAAGGAAGAAAGTCAGATGTGAAAAAGGCTCTGGCCAGGCTGCTCCCCACCCCCACCCCAGGGGGCCAACCAGGGGCCAGTGTCTCCAGGTTCCGGAAATCTCTGGTCCAGTCTGGGTTGTTGTCCATGTCTGGTGGTGGGGCCCAGCAGTAGGCGTCCCCAGGCAGGGGTCATGCTCAGGGGCTTCATGGGACTAGACACAAAGGCTCATCTGAGGTAGGTTTTGGGTTCTTAGCCAAGAGGACAGCAGCAGGGCCCAGCCCCGGGAAGAGGCTGGCAAAGGTCAGGTCCCAGTGCTGCTCGGAGGGCTTACAACAGCCAGGGAAGCTTCAGACCAGACCCACACCTGATGCCTGCAGGAGGGAAGGGAGCTGTGCATGCCCTTCTCCAGAATGGAACTGGGGCAGACTGGGCCTGGGGCAGACTGAGACAGACCCAGACTGTGACACACTGGGGCTGTTGTGCTGCAAAGCCCCGGACAGACAGGCTCATTATCACAGTCTCTGTCACGACATCTCACCCACTGGCCATTCAGGTGACAAAGAGGTAGATCCCTAACCCGAACTCTGCCAGTTCACATTTAGCTAGGAGATTTATCTCAGCTCGAGAATCTGGTGTGATCTTCCCTTTCAGTTGGCTGCCTCCCTCTTGTACCAAAAACAGAAGAACTCTAAGCCAAGTTCTCTTACGTGAGGACTTGTTAAAGTGAAATAGGAAAAATGAGATGCACTAGGAAGGTATGGCGGAGATTGCCTACAGGCTCCTTCAACTTACTTCCTCTTATTCTTGGGAGAAACTTGGCCACACATCCCAGCATCCTTCCTGGTCAGGTGTGGCCTTGTGGTTGGTTGTAGCCAAAGAAATATGAGTGGGAGTGAGGCAGGCTGCTCCCAGGACTAACCCATGGAATCCTCCCGTTTGTGTTTGTTGGTTGGTTGGTTTTAATTATTTTATTCTTTGATGGAGGTACTGGGGATTGAACCCAGGACCTTATACCTGCTAAGCATGAGCTCTACCACTGAGCTTTACCTCCCCCAGAATCCTCCCATTTGTGACCCTCCAGGGACACCACAGTCCCCCAGCAAGGGCAGCCCAGACAGGCTACTACCCTAGTTTTGCTGCACCAGCTTCAGTGATAAATGGGAATTTGGAGGTGTGAGAGGTGGACAGGAGGCCAGGGACCAGGATAGCAATTGTAGACAGCCTCGGAGCTGGGAAGCCAAAAGAGGCAGGAGTGTGCCATCCTCTATTTGGACTCCATCCAAAGAGGATAAAGGGACACCAGCCAAGTAAGGGGCCCCAGGAGCCGTATTTGGCAGGAACAGGGCAGCCTCTGATGGCTGGTGACTCCTGCTTTATCTCACACGGCAGGCTGCTCCATAAGAGCCGGCTGCGGGAGTAGTGACAGTTTCCCTTGGGTCCTGGGAGGCCCTGGCAAGTACGCCTCCGTCGTGGTGAGCACATGGGAGGAAAAAGCCTGATATCCTCAAACAAAGCCTTTGCTCTGACTTTTCACTTATCATTAGCTGTATTGACATAGCTGGAAATTTACCATAACTGTTCAGAATATCATGTTTTGTTCCTGAAATAGAGGTACTAGAAGTTCTCACAACAGAAACTGGATGTGACTGTTCCATAGAAAAAACCGGAACTATGATTCTAGCCAAGGTCTGATACACTATTTATAGGAGTGATCAGAAATTGCCTGGTAACCCATGTGTCACTGATGCCTGAGCCCTGCACAGTGGAGAGGTAAGGTGTCTATGAATCAGTTATGTGGGACAACGTGGTCATGTGAGAGGTTCCCCAGGGCTAGGAACCAGACAGCCCCCTGGAGGAGGACAGCACCAGACTCTGCAGCAGGTCAGCGGGGTGCTCCAGGAGCAAATCGTCTAGATGACGTGTGTGAGCCATGTCTCACGAGGTTGACCGGAGACCATGGCAGTCACGATTCTGGGCACCTTTGTGAAATGTTCCACCCTGATCAAAGGGCATTAGAACACTGGGCCCCTCAGCACGGTTCTCTTCACCTTCTCTAGGCCTGGATGTGAGTTGTGGCTGAGCCCCAGCTGCATTGGAGTTCAGACCCTGGAAGTCTGTACCCTGGGAATCACAAGATGCCAAACGCAGAGGCCTAAGTCCATCTTCAATCCCCCTCCCTCTTCCCCTGCCTCCCCATGCAGCACTGTCTTCATGAAACTGAAAAACCAGGACCCTTGTAAAGAAAAGGAAATCCAAATGCCATCAACTTGGAGAGTAGAGACACGGGGCTGTTTCTGTCTCTCCACTGGGCATCTCCCTTCCCCAGACTTCACTGGACATCGGAGGGCTTTACGCTCCTTGTCCTGGGCCCGCGGATTTCGCCGTGAAGGCGGGTGAGGGAGAGCATACCTGGCGTTCTCCAGGTAAGAACGGCCCCATCGCCTGCCTGTAATGACGTTACACCAGCAATAACCAGATCGCAGCGCTGCTCCCACCTAGGGCCTGGTGCAGTTGCAAAGTTTTAGAGAAGAAAATAACAGACTCATTTATTTAGGTTCATTAAGCATATTCCTAGCCCTTCCAGAACATCCTGGTGACAACAGTGGTTATCTGGGGGCACACGTACAAGGCACATGCCTGGAGCTGTGGGTCTGTTGTTAAATTTCTGTCCAAATGATGATGTGTGCGTGTGCATGTGTGTATAATTTTCTACTTTACAAAGCAGTTTCACAATGAGACCTTGATTTCTTTTACACTCAGTTTCCTGCTCTGTAGGCCGGGGGCTCACGTGACAGGCTTGGCTAAGAGGAGGCTCATTTAACAACCGCTCCGCCGAGAACAGAATAGTTTGCTGCAGATCCAGGAGGAGCTCAACTCGAAACAAGGAGGCAATGGTGCCCATTCTCATGGGGCTGGTGAACGTGGAGGAGGAGGCAGTCACCTTCACGGCAGTTCCCTGAGCAAGCCTGTGGGGTCCTGTGATGTGGCCAGCGGATCTGGGAGAACTGAGCACAGTGGTCCAAGGATCTTAGCATTCCAACCCCTCATTTACGAGGGGGAGAGGAGCCTGGGAAACTCCCCACCACTCCCCTCCCTCCCTCCACAACTGAACAGTAACAGACATTCTCCTTTGGTTGTGATGGGGTGAGACTGAGGGCTGTCATCAGGATGGGGGCTGCAGAATAAATGTAAAACAGGAAATGCATCAGAAATGCTGCAGGTGGCTCCAAGGAAGTTCCAGTGCTCAGCGCCTCCGGGAAGGGCAGGCACAGGTGTAGGAAGTGGGAGGGTGAGTGTGATAAGTCAGGTCTGGGTGCAGGCGCAGACTTCACGTGCAACTTGCATCCTTTCCTGTGCTCCTGTGCTGTCTGTTCAAGGAACTTCTGGGTTGGCCTTTTCTGTAGTAAGTAGTAGTTGAAATGAGAGAGAAGAAGGGAATGGAATGCCAGGGTTAAGAGCAAAGAAAAAATTAAGCTTGCTAACCCAGGTGCTGAATGATGTTAGGTCCCAGGGGAGGCCCCGCTTCTTTGACTCCTTGAGCACAAATCACAGCTACCCTCAGAGTGGCCTCAGTATCCTTCCCCGTTCGTCACCTGAGCTTCTCACCATCAGCACTGTCCGAATATTGCTTCTTGCCTGCAACACTCTTCTAGGATGATAGAAAAACCAGGGGGAAAGAATGGAGTGGGTGGAGTAGGGGAGAGGGGAGGACTGAGCTCAGTGGTCCAAGGACGTTAATGTTCCAACTCCTCATTTACGAGGGGGAGAGGTGCCTGGGGAAGAAGCTCTGGGCAGTCAGGCCCCGGCACCAGAGACCAGCCAGCCGAGACTGGAGATTGGCGCCCCTCCCACAGCACAGAGAGCCCCGGGGTTAGCACACATGGTCTCTTTGAACCAGAGAGACTTCAGGGCATCTCAGCACAGATCAGCTCCAGGTCCGAGGCAGGGTCAGAAGACGACGCGTGTGGGCTCCCGGGAGAAGCTTGTCGTTGCGGGAGATGTTGGGGAGGTCCTGCTGTGGGGGGGAGCTGGCAAGTTTTGCTTTTCCTGGGTGTGCCCTGCACTTGGGCCATACAAGCCATGGCCCTTTGGGGTGAACTCTTCAGGAAAGCCCTGCTCTGCCGTGGTGGAGGGAGACTTCTTGGCTTTGGGAGCTGGCCTGGGGGCCTCTTCTCCGTGGCTGAGGCACCCCAGACTCAAGCTGCGGTGACACTCCGGGCTGGCGTGTAGGTCCTGGGCATTGTGACCTCAGCTGTTCCGCACACAGAGAGGTGGTCATCCTGCCCTCACCTTGGCCTGTAACCTGCATAGGACAGTGGCCTGGTCACGGGGGCCCGTTGTGGGGAGGTTGAGAAGTCGAAGAACACTCTGGCCTCCTCCATCATGTCGGCCAAGAGGGCAGAGCTGAAGAAAACAAGCCCGGTAAGGGGAGACGCTGCTGGGCGCCCCGTGAGCCCCCGCTGAATGGAGGTGGGGGGTGGGGAGGGAGGGAGAATGCCCCAGCGAACCCGGGCTTTTCTCTCTCCTTCGAAGCATGATGTGGCCTCTCAGCCTGGAAGGAGGGTGGGGAACGAACCCCTCGTGCTGGAGTGGGAAGGACCCTTTAGGGACAAGGAGCACTGAAACGCCCCACCCACCCCGACCCCTCTGGGAGCCATGACCTGGGCCAGGCCCACATCTGACCTGCATGTTTAAGGTGCATGAGAACCTCATTAGATGAATGTAATTATCACCCCCAATTTACAGATGAAGAAACGGAGGCTCAGAGAGACTAAATAACTCGGCTAAGTCACCACAGCCAGTAAGGAGGAGAGCTGAGACTAGAATTCAAGTCTGTCCACTTTCAAAGCCGGTGCTCCTGATATAATACTTAGACTGCCTCCTTCAGTTCCCTCGCAGTGCTCCCCGGGCAGGTGCTGCTCGTGAGGGCAGACCCTGGCTGAGTCTGAGCGGCCCGGGCTCGCGTGCTGGGGGCCCCGTGGGCCTGGGCTCGAGCGCATGTGGACAGGCCAGGTTAGGTGAAGAGTTTTATTCTCCCAATCCTGATGCCTGACAGGCCGAATCCCAAACCCCTCTCTCCGCAGAGCAAGAACTACAAGGCAGTTTGCCTGGAATTGAAGCCAGAGCCGATCAAAGTAAGAAGCTTTTTTGAGGCCATGCCGGCAGCCGGGCCTGAGGCCCGTGGGGAGGTGTCTTTAGTCAGGGGGCTTTCGCTGTTGCTGGTGCCCAAGACTTGTCCCAGGTGCTGGGGGAGACACTGAGGGACAGACAAGCTGTCTGCTCTCAGAGAACTGCACACTTGAATCAGATACACACGTGCATAAGCAGGGAAAAGGTCGGTCGTGTTGCCTACGATGCAGAGAATGAAAGCAGGGAGACGTGACTGGGTGGCCGCCGTGGGCCGGGTGGTCAGGAAGGGCCTTCATTTGAGCTGAGGGCTGAAGGGCGAGTCGGTGGCCACCGCGAGGCTGAGGAAGGGCTCAGCGGGGGGAGGCAGCGGCGTCCACAGGCCCCGAGGTGGGAGTGAGCTTGGCTGTGCCGGGGACAGAGCTGAGGCCCAGTGGGCCAGGAAGGGGTAGGATGAGATGAGCTGGGCGAGAGAGAAGGACTGAGGACACCTCTGTGCAGGTGGGGCCAGGCCACCAGCTCTCACCTCTGCCCTGGCCCAAAGGGAGGAACAAAAACTCGGGGCGATGCCTCCTGTCTCAGCCACCCCACACCTGCGATTTCCAATTGTCTGTGTTTCTGCTTTCAACCAACAGACATATGACTACAAAGGCGTTAAACAAGAAGGGCCATTTACCAAACCAGGAGGGACAAAGGAGCTAAAGGTAGGTGTGTGGACCCAGGAGGCAGGAGGTTGGATCAGCACAGGGAAGAGGGGGGGCCCGACAGAACAACTTCTACTGCGGATAAACTGCTGGCATTTACGATTCTGCACCAGCTTTTGTGACTCATTCCTCCTGTTTCTTGTTTTGTTTTGTTTTTGGGGGGGAGGTAATTAAATTAATTATTATTATTATTGATATTATTATTGATATGATTATTATTGGATTGAACCCAGGACCTCATGCATGCCAAGCACATGCTCCACCACTGAGCACATCCTGCCCCCTACTTTTGGCTCTTTCTTTTTAACTCTATATTTTTAAATAATTTCAGACTTACAGAAAATTTTCAATAAGTGGTACAATGAGTTCACCCAGATTCCCTGAATGTTGGCATTTTATCATTGTTTTCACTTTCTCTCATATTCACACACCCATATATATAATATATATATTTCCTGAACCACTTGTGAGCATATGTTTCTCTCAAATTTCAATGTATAGGTCCTAAAAACAAGAACCCTCTCTTACACAGCCACCGTACAATTACTGAAATAGCAAAATCAGGAAATTAACATTGATACAGTTTTCATCTACAGCCCTTATTTTAATTCCACCAGTTACCTCATGAATGTCTTTCACAACAAGTGAAAAGACACCTTTTTGGACTGGGAGCCAGTCCAGAATCACACTTTGCATCCAGTTTCTGTATCTCTTTAGTCTTTTTTCACCTGGACCAGCTCTTCAGCCTTGTCTTTTGGGACATTTTTGAGGATGAAAGGTCATTTTGTAGAGTGACCCTGAATCTGGGTTGTCTGAGGCTTCCTCACCATTAGACTTAGGCTGTGCATTTTTGGCAGTTGCGTCACTGAGCGAAGTTATGACTGTTTCAGAGTACATCACATCTGGAGGTGCCGGATGGGTGGGTGTCCCACTGTCTATTTTTCTTAACAGCCCCCTTTCCTTCCTCCCTACTCACAACTATCTCTGCTCCTCTTTGGCAATGCCTCAGGGTCTTTCCTTTTCTCCTTTGGACCTTTTCCCTTCCATCCAAGACGTTTCTTTACCCCTTCTCTATTTTATTTCCTCAGAATGAACTCAGGGAGGTGAGGGAAGAGCTCAAGGAAAAAATGGAGGAGATAAAACAGGTAACAGGATAGGATTTCCCATCACATGGAGAAAAAGGGTAGCTTCAAGGAAAATGCAGTGCCTAACTGTGAATAACAAAGGAAATGAGGAACTGCACGGAACAAGCAATCAAACTTCCTGAGCCCGAATCCTCTAGAGTGTTTAAGTTATGTATTTCTTACTTGTTTGATGCTTAAACACAATGTTTGAGTGATAAAGACTCTCCGAAGTGTCTCATCAATACGGGTGGGGAGATACAACCTTAGTGACAAAGGGAGAGAGGCTATCTTGGAACTTGGGGGCAGTCAGGGACCAATTATTCACCTCCCCTTATTCATCTCCCCTGAGCAAGCAGCAGAGCAAGAGCCCTCTTCTTGTTTCTTTGATGGAACCACCCACAGTATACTTGTGAACAAGGGAAATGCTCAAGCAAGAAGGTGTAATTGAATCTGTGGTCTGAGCTCCACGTGGAAGACTTGCAGTGGCCAGATCCAAGCTGTGCCCAGGCTGCTGCTGGTGGTGACTCGGTGGCACTGCACCCAAGTCCCTTCATAGACTCTTGGAAAGAAAGTGGCTTTAACAGGCCATTGTTAGTCCATCGTTAAGCTTTATCCATCTCATTCCAGAGTAGCAGCTACTTTGCTTAAAATGCCCCAGAGACAGCTCCATATTCAATAGTATGTTCTGTGCCTTTCTTCCTCACTAGATAAAGGATGTAATGGACAAGGATTTTGATAAACTCCAGGAATTCGTGGAGATTATGAAGGTAAGCATTTCTTGAGTGCCCTCCATGGGCCAGTATCATACTAGGAATCATGGAGGGAGATGCCAGAGCCTGCCCTGTGAGTACTTACAAGCTAGTAAGAGACCCAAACTCTACTGCAAGAAAGAATTAAATAGCAAGTACCAAGCTAAATGATGACTGGCTGTCAATGAATTAGGAGTTTGGAGAAGTGAGGAATGAATGAGGGCTGGGGTAACCAGAAAAGTCCTTTTAAAGTAAGTGAGTCTCAAGGTAAGCCTTGAAGGATGCATTGGAAGCTTAATGCAAATCTAACCAAGAGCCCAATAAGATTATTTTTGAACTCAATAATTACTAAAAGGATCTTCTAGATTCTAGAATAGTGGTTCTCAGACTTTGGTGAGTTTCAGAATCACCTGGGGCACTAATAGAGGAAACAGAGCCCAGGTCCTGTTTGGATGGGGCTTGCGCCTTTGGATTTTGTTCATGTCCCCCAGGTAGAAGTTTGAGAACAAGCAATGTAGAAGCATAAATAGGCAAAAGCATTCATCTATACATTTTTCTGGAGCTATAAGGGGACACTACCCCTACCAGATTCTAACATTCATAATAAAGTCACAGTAATCAAATCAAGGCAGTGTAGCCCAAGGGTCACCAGACAAATGAAAGAAACCAGCATAGAAAACCCTGTACCAGCCTCTCTACCAGGGATGCCCTGAGACTCACTTGTGAGTATTTCTGAAATCCGTTTACCCAGTCCCTGCTACAAATGAACTGAATAAAACCCCTAAGGCGGGCACAGTTGTTCAAAATTCAAATAAGTGATTCAGGTAATTGCCCCTGATGAGAACCAGGTCCTCACCACTTTAGCAGTAGTTACCAACATTGGCTGCATGTTGGAATCACCTGTACTGTGCCTTTGACCTGCCTCCACTTTACACCTGCCTGTGCCCCTTAGCAATTCAATCAGAACCTCTTAATATGAGGTCCAGGCATTGGTAATTTTTAAAGATCCCCAGCTGATTCAATTATATACTCAAAGCTGGGCACCACAGCTCTATAAAACTTAAAATATAATAAAGCTGATTTTCTGAATTATCAGTGAGAAGAGAGGGATTATTAATATTAAGAACATTGCTTGACTGTATGAGGAAAAACTTAATTCTCTTAACACTGTAAACTGAAACAGTTTATAAAGTGAATTCAAAACATAAAAATCAATAAGAAACTATGTATTTAACTGGATGGTCTAAATATAAATACAGTGGAAGAAATCACAAAAGAAATATACATTTAATAGTATAAAAATTAAAAAAATTATAACCGAAAAGCACCATACACAGAATTAAAAAGTAACCAGCAGTTTTGGGGAAACAATTTCCCACAAATATGATAGACATAGACAAAAGGTTTTTATAAGTAACATATAAAGTGCACACAAATCTGTAAGAACCAAATAGGAAAATGGGCAAAGGGTATGTATGAGCAATCCACAGAAGAATATAACTAAAAAGCAATGAATATGTTAAAAAGCTTTCCCTCATGAATAATCAAATAAATGCAAATGAAAATAATACTGCGATAACTGCCACACTCAAATCAGCCGAGTTTGACTTTATGGCAATTACAAAGCAAGACAGGAAAAAAACAAAAAAACAAAAAACAAAGCAAGACAGGATTGCTCTTGTCTATTTGTTTTTTTTGTTTTTACTTTCTGTATATATTTTGTTATAAATCCATCCAATTTTATATTATGCTTTTGAAACTTGTTTCTTGAAAATGACTTAACAGCATCATTTTCCTTATGATACAAAATATTCATTGTACGTGGGGTTTTTTCTGTTTCTTTTTTCTTTTTTTGTGTGTGTTTTTTTGTGTGTGTATGTTTTTAGGAATGCTCTTGTACTGCTGGTGGGAGGGCATTGTGCAAAACTGAAAAGGATTTGGACAATCAAAAAATATCAAAACTCAGTGACAGAATTTAACCTATGAGAATGCTCAGAAATGCCAGCATGGGTATATATAAAAAGATGTTCATCACAGGATTATCTATAATAGCAAAAATGCATAAACAACCACAATTTTCAACAGTAGAGGGGTAGCCGAGCAAATTATGATATACACATATAATGAAAATTAAGAACAATAGGAGACTGTTTAGAAAGAATACTTAGAAGTTAAAAAACAAGAATACAAGTAATATATACAGGCTTATC